TGCTCCTTAATGATTAAAAGGTGTCTACACAATTTCATAAAATATCTGGAGTAATAGGAAAATTATGATAAGAAAAGTTTTTTTTTAAATATAAAATTAAATTAAAATTTATGTGTTGACGACATAATATGTTGATATTAACTTTTCTTCTTAAAATTACCCACTGATTCACACACTTAAGTATCGGCACCCAATTAATAAACACCCTGTATAGAGTGTTAGCATGTACAGGCATTATATTTAAATAAAGTAGAAATAAAACTATCTAGCCTCCTTTGGTAAAATTGCCTTTTCATGAGTTTTCGAAGCATGATCTCTTTTTTTATTACTTGGCAAAAATAAAGTAGTAATCACGATAATTAAAATTCAAAGCAAGCTTTATCAAAATGCCTCGAACGTATTTTAAAACATTTTCTGTACTTAAATTGTCCTTATCTAATTTTCCAATTCTCTTTAGCCTTTTATCTAACCTAAAACACAAATAAAATTGAAAAATTATATAACTACATAAATTATTTTCATTAGAACAATAATTAAATAATTAATTCCTCTAAAAATAATTATTAAATACGGATATGTTGTTTAACTGCTTTGGTGTTTAAAAATTACTTATGAGACCTTCTTCGGAAGTATCTCTTCGGTTTGGACACAGTAATGGAGGCCCTACACGCTACGATTTTTGTGTGATTTGAACTATACAGTCCATCGATTCAGTCCATAACTCAACGTGAATTGCTCGATCTGACTCACATCTGGACTCTCCTCTTTTGTCCTCTTTTGTCTAATGTGAAGATAAAGGGTGAAATGAGCTGATTAAATCTTGCCCTTAGAACAGAACTGTGCGTTTAGGGCCTCCATAACTAAACATGATTTAACTATTGTTCAAAAAAATTTTTAGGAATCAAAATAACGTTTCAAAATTCACAAAAACTTCATAATTCACACAAAAATTGCTAATGAATAGGGAAAATTAAATGTCACAGGTCACAAAATTATAATAATGCGTAGGCGCTCCTCCCCGCCAGCCGGGTAGCCATTTTCCTATCTCCCCCTCTCCATATTGGTTGGTAAGGATTGCATCATTTCTGATAATTCTATCGTATACATTAAAAGAAGGGAAACGAAAGAAAAAAACATACTGCCTTTAAAAAAACTAGAAGTAAATTAGATTACGATAAAATGGTCAATATGTTGATTGAAAAAGACTGGGGATATTCATTTACTAACGTAAATATTGTTAGTGATATATTTATGAATAACATATTATCTATAATGAATATTGTGTCTAAACCAAGTATTGTAAAGAAAACTAATAGTGTTAATCAAGGGTTTGATAATAATTGTAGAAAAGCTATTTCGGTTAAGAATAGAGCTTACAAAAAATTTGTTTTCACGAATCAGGTAGAGGATTGGAATAACTATAAGGAAACCAGAAATTCATCGGATAGAATTTTAAGGGAAGCTAAAATAAAATCAATTGATGACAATAGAGGAAATCCGAAATTAATGTGGAAAAGTTTTAAAAAATAGTAGGAACTAAAAATACAGAAATAATATCAGAAACCTTACATTGTAATGGAATAATTTATAGTAATAATCTACCAAATATTTTTAAATCAGTATTATGTAACAAGTATAAATGACCTAGTGGTAAATATAGGAATAACTGGAATATGTGATGACGTCCTGCTTGATTGAATTCCAATAAATGCTGTAATAATGACAAACTTTCAGGTGATTAATATTCAACAACTTTATGAAATAATTAATTCCCAAAAGAAAAACAAAAATAGTACAGATGAAATTGGTATTGATTTAATTAGGCATCTTTATCACGTTCTGGGTTAGCCTTTATTAAATTTGATTAATTTAAGTTTGGAAAAAGGAACTGTTCCTCAATGTTTTAAAACATCCACCATAGTTCCTATTCCTAAGGTGATAAATACAAATAGAGTTGATCAACTGAGACCTATAAATATGTTGCCATTCTGTGAAAAGTTACTTGTTATATGTACTGGTTGTGTATAAACAAATTGTGAAGTTTTTAAATGATAATGTTATAATTATCAATCAGGTTTCAGAAACTCGCATTCTTGTGAAACGGCTCTGCAGTTAGTTGTGTCTGACATGAAAAAAATATTAGATAAACCAAGAATTGGTATTTGTGCAGTTTTTATAGACCTTCGAAGAGCTTTTGAAACTGTAGATCGCAGAATTCTTTTATTAAAATTAAAGAGGTATGGGTTTAATGGTTCTGTATATGATTGTTTAGAAAATTATCTATCAAATAGATTTCAAAAAACAAAGATTAATGATAATACATCAGATTTATTATTAAATGATGTAGGCGTTCCCCAGGGCAGTGTCTTGGGTCCTTTACTCTTTATAATATATATAAATGATTTGGGATCTGTACTAAACACATGTAAAATTCTTCTATTCGCTGATGATACATTAATTTATTGGTATGGGAAAGATTTTGGAACAATAATTCAAACTATAAACTCAGAATTAAAATTATTAACAGAGAACTTTAAAATTAATAAATCAAAAGTAAATGAAATAAAGTCGAAGTCTATGTTTATTGGGAATAATTTTCTGTATAATAAGTATTTAGGTTTAAATTTAAATGTAGTTATAAATGACGAAGTCATTGAGAATGTTGAAGAAATAAAATACTTAGGTTTAATACTATACAGAGAATTGAAATTTAATAAGCACATTGGTTATATGTTTAAAAAAATTGGTAAAAAAATTGGTTTTATGAGAAGGGTATCACTGTTTTTATCTATATCGACTAGACAAACCATCTTTAATACACTGATATTACCTCATTTCTATTACTGTAGTACTATTATTTATACAGGGTGTTTTAATTTTGATAGGTTACAAATCCTTTAGAATAAGGCAATGCGGGCAATTTTGGGATGTAATCGTTTTACTAGTTCACAGTTAATGTTGGAAGCTTTAAATTGGATAAAAATTGAACATCTACTTAATATTCAGACGATGATATTTATATATAAAATTGTTAACAACATATTACCTGAATAATTAAACTGTCAGCTTGTACCAGTTGCAAATATTCACGGGCGAAACACTAGAACGGCAAATTCTATAAATTTTTATGTGAATTCAAGTAACAAAACCAGCTCCATGAAAAGTTTGTTTCATAAGGGTATAGTTCAGTTTAATATTCTGCCTGATGTCGTTAAAGCAAGTTCAAGTGTAAACATGTTCAAAAAAAAGATGAAGAATCATGTAAAGTTTATATAAACACAATTCGTTTTTTATGTTATTTCTTGTTTGTTTCGAAACAATAAAATTTAATTTAATATTCAAGAACCCACTGATTTTTCCTAACGAATTTTTTTTTAATTTTTTTTATTCATGTTTGGTTTTTAAATTGCTAAATCTACTTTCTAACCTCATAATGTACCTACGTTACTTTCTATACTTATTATCTTTTGATAAATAAACATTATTATTCTATTCTATATTTATGCTCTAAGTCTTAAACTGAAATTACATAAAAATCAAAACTATATATAAGTAAGATTATGTGGGGATCATGATGTCGCCACAGCCATTTTGTATAAGAAAAGCACGGGCTTTTACTTTATCGCCTCGATCATAGTATACTTTTGAACAAGCTTTCCATTGTTGGACTCACTACGTCTTTTCTGCGTTTCTTTGAATCATATTTAAGTAATCGTAAATTGAAAGTTGAATACCATGGTTTTCAGTCAATTTGTATAAAAGCTTCTTCCGGTGTCCCTCAAGGTTCAGTTCTAGGACCACTTTTATTTTCCATTTTTGTAAATGACATTACTGAAAACCTATCATGTAATACTCTACTCTATGCCGATGATTTCAAATTGTTTAAATCAATCTCTAGTATTGATGACTGTTTGATTATGCAGGAGAACCTAAATAAATTGAACCTTTGGTGTAATTCTAACAACTTACCACTAAACATATCTAAGTGCAATTCTATCAGCTTCACTCGCAAACTAAATCCGATTGAGTATAATTTCACTGTCAACAATATTACCATCAATAAATGTCTTTCTTTTAGAGATCTTGGTGTTCTTTTCGACGCTAAGTTAAATTTTATTGAACATGTCAATACTATTCAAAAAGAAGCATACAGAAATTTGGGTTTTGTCATTCGAAATGGACGCCAGTTCTCTGAGCCTAACACTTTAAAAACTATTTTTAACGCTTTTGTACGTAGTAAGCTAGAATATGCGTCCATTGTTTGGAGTCCTGGATATGAAGTATATAGCCAAGCATTAGAAAAAATTCAGCGAAAATTTGTCAAATATTTGTGGTGCAAGCTAGATGGCGTCTACCCTACTCGCAATATTCCGCAAACCATCTTGCTGAATAGATTTGATATCCTTGAATTACGTACTCGCAGGAAATGTTATTCTATCTGCATTCTTTACAAATTATTAAATTTTAAAATTGACTGTCCCGAACTACTTCGTCAACTAATGTTTAATGTTCCTAGTATCAGAACTCGCTCCCCTTTTTATTTCTATTTTCAAACACCCAGGACAAATATTTTAAAATTTTCTCCAATGTATTTTATGTATCAAAATTTTTGTGAACTTCAAAATGATGTTGATTTATTTTCTATTTCAATTAAAGAAATAAAACGCTTAATTGTGGACTGAGTTAATTATCATAAGACGACGTAATTTTTTCTCCTAACGGAGTTTTTTTTTGCGTTTTCTTATGATAGTTAAAAACGTTTATTAAACTATTTTTTGTTTACATATTTTTATGCTATTATTAGTATTTAATATTTTGTTATCATTTTTATGATGTAAATTATACTGTAATTGTAATTATTTTTGTGCCCATCCTGTAATTGGTTTTATACTGTTGGATGGTATAACCCAAATAAATAAATAAATAAATAAATAAATAAATAAGCTAATAAAACCGTGCAAAATCTCAAAACCCACATTATTTTGATGTTTCTTTTTCAGGCTCATGGGTTTCCGACGTGCCATGCCTGTTACTGGCCGTTTGCTCAACATGACAACAGAACTGTACGAAAAAACGGAAGGTGACCTCTTGAACACATTCTTTGTTTCGCCCAGCGACAATCTGTGTTTTCATGGAAAATGCTCGTATTACTGCGACACCTCGCATGCCATTTGCGGAAATCCTGATACACTCGAGGGAAGTTTTGCGGCTTTTTTACCATCTTCTAAACTTGCTCCTACAAAGGTAACCAGAATTTTCTATAATTTTATTATAAAACTAATCGCACATCCCTGAGAAGCGTTGTAATAAGTCCAAAATACTAAATTTTACAGAAATTGTTTCCTAATTTTAAAATGGTAATAGATAAAACTTAGGGAAATTCATTCAATTTAAACTTGCACCAGTCAAAGAGTAAATTAAAAATAATTATAAAACTTCTTGAGTTGTTTTATAAAGAATTTTTTTGGTTGAAGTACGAGGAAATGTTTTAAAAATTTTAATTATTGCATTTTATTGAATTGTTTTATAGATATGGAGGCATCCATGGAGGCGATCGTACCACAAGCGAAGGAAAGCACAATGGGAGACAGATCCCAACTATTGCCAACTTGTTAAAGAGATCCATCCCTATAATAAGGGTAGACGTTTGTATGATATAATGGATATGTCTGTCTTTGATTTCCTTATTGGCAATATGGACAGGCATCATTACGAAACTTTCAGGTAGGTTCATTTTAATTGAATTATATTTAGTACAAAATGTAAATTTATATAGTAGTTTGGGCAAGAAAAGTGGATACGTAGCCATTACCGATTTGTCAAAAAAAATTACGTAAGGGGTGAGGCATATAAAACTTGTCATATAATAATATTTTTGGGTGTTTTATCCGAATGTAAAATTGCCCACACATTCTGGGAGATAATATTTATGTTTTCTGTGCAGGTTATTTGGAAATGACACCTTTACACTACATCTAGATCATGGTAGAGGTTTTGGAAAGCCATACCATGACGAATTGACTATATTAGCACCTGTACTTCAATGTTGTTTGATGAGGCAATCTACATTAGAGACTTTATTAAGGTAAATATATTATTATATAATATTTTTTTATATTATTATTATTATTATTATTATTATTATTATTATTACGTACTAAATTTTAAAATGCTTAAAAAATATTAATATTCGCTCACTGATAAGAATCCCCTAATAGTAGCCAAAAAGTTTAATAACTTTTTTTTCTATTCCTCATGAAATTAACATCAGAAACAAATGTTAAATATTCCTATGACAGGCCAACTTTAAAAAATGTCTTTGTCACACATGTAGCTATTTAAATCAGACGTTATGTCTAAAAAAAGTCTAAAATACAAAATTAAAAATAAACCATCATGAGTGTTCTAGAAAACTCAGAAGAAATTAATTAAGTATTAGATTATTAAGATGTAATTTTATGTAAATGTGATTTTATGAAAGGTCCGATAACAGAATGAGATAGAAACCGAATGGAATCTATTTTTAAAAATAACGACTTTAAATAAATATTTGGTTAAGAGGAATACTTACCCTGACCAACATTTAGTCGGCCGTAAGACCTGCAAAGTTTGGAGAAATAAATCTAATAATTTCAATGAAATAATTTATACTTCATATCGGAATTGTACTACGCTCACATCGCATTTCAGATAAGGTATAATGAGTATAGCCGCTCAGGTACCGAAGGCATAAACGATTGTCGAAATGTATACGGTCGGCTGATGAATTTTATTTATTAGAAGTAGTGGAGCGTATGTATACAGTACGTCCCCCTAGGTTGGAATCATATGGAAAACTTTTTTATTATTAATTTTAGGAAAAAAGGTATTCTTCATAAAAAGTTCTGCATTATCTAAAACCTAAAATACATCATCAAATATCAAATTTTTTCAGTGGTATACGGGGATTGTCAAAAAATATGAGTTTTACTCAAGAGTAAAGTACCTTTATTCTTTATAAGATTGATAAAATTTGATATCTGATGGTTGTATTTTAGGTTTTAGACCAGAGGTTTCCAAACTCTTTTGTTTCATAGACCACTTTCAAAATTTTGCTGGATCCGGTGAACCCCCTGTAGCTACATCACTACCAATTTCTTAATCTCGAAAAAAAAAAGGTGAAGATTAGATCTATCTATGGAAACTTGCGTTGTGTGTTTTAACGACGAAATAACAGTTTTCGAAAAAAAGGTTAGAATTGATTGCTTGATAGGGTTAATTATTTGATAATAAAGTCGACTAAACAAATTTTCAATTGATTGTGCTGTGAGTGGATGTCAAAAAAGCAAAGTTGGCCAAACGAAAAAGTGACTCTATCCAACTTTACTTTTTTGAAATCTACAGTGACTCACAGCACAAGAGCCAATCAATTCTCACAAATTTTATTTAGAAAACTTCCCATTCGGAGTGGTAAAAAGAAATATAGTATATTTCCTTGTGTTGTAGGTATTTATTTAAATTTAAATATATACATTATTACACTATTAATTATTATTGTTATAACCGTCGTAATATAATTAAAATTAAACACTTATAAAGTAATGTAATTTCTACAATGGTAATTACAAAAAATATGCATAATTTTAATGAGAGGAATGTACTTGATGGATTAACAGCAAATTATCAATATTTGGCTTGAGTTTTGTAAGGAATAACCGTAAATCTCCCCTTTCTGTGATATTCGATCTGCTCCTTTTTTTTGTTAATAAGTTTCTAACGGCACTAAAACTTTTTTCGACGAGATACGGCGAGGGAAACGCTATCAGAAGCTTCTGCACAATTCCCCATAGTCCAGGATATTTTTGGGTATTTTTGCCTGCAGCCAAAATTTTTGATATCCTCTTTTAAATGTAACTTTCAGCTCCTCATTAGTGCTAAGCTCGAGTAGCTCCTCTTGTAATATCACATTCTCCACTTCCGTTTCATCAAATGGATTTATGTTCCGTGGTGGTATTTCCATCGACAGAATATCTTCTGAATTTCTGAATTTAAAATCATCATGCAGGGAAATCAAATGTTGAACGTATGTCTGAATATCTTCATCAAGACATTCTACATGCGACAAGTTTGAAAACTGAAAATTTGCGCCGACCAATATTTTCCTTCATAAATTTCAATTTACCAAGAAAAGCTGAAAATACATTCTTTGTTTTTATTAATTTGAGGCTGTCCCCTTGTAATTGTAAGTTAAGGTCATTAAATTTTTTGAACAAATATGTCTGCTTTAAAATTGATCAAGTTTTTTTTTAAATCAGGATCTTTACTTTCCAAAAACTCTAAAACTGAGTCAAAAAGTAAATAAAATCTTAATAAACATGCACCTTTCGACAACCAGCGTACTTCGGTATGTAACAACAATCGTTGGAAGTCTTCATCATTTTCATCGCACAATTGTGCAAATAAACGCGTATTCAATACATTGCTTCTTATTTTGTTAACTGCATTAATCACAAATTGAAGCGATTGGTGCAATCTATCACTCAAATTTTCGCTACTAGATCTTGTCGGTGGATAACACAGTGAATCGCAATTACCTCTGGTATAATTCTTTTAAGATGGCTTATAAACCCACGAAATCGCCCGACCATGGCAGGAGCTCCATCTATTACCACCGAAACACCGTTTGTGAATGGAATCGATTTTTCTTTAAAAAAATCACTCAAAACATTAAATATTGATTCACCCTTAGTGTCCGTCTTCAAAGTTTTCGCGAATAGTAGCTCTTGAATTTCTTCGCCCATAACAAATCGAACATACGCCAATAATAATGCTTCATTGCCAGGTAAAGTTGACTCGTCCAGTTAAATAGAAAAATAGGTTGTTCGTGGATAATCACACAAGAAACTTTCAACATCAGAGCTCATTTCATCAGTACGTCATTGTACAGTGTTGTTACTCAAAGGAATTCTTTTGAGTATGTCAAATGAAGATTTGTGTAGAACAGTTTCTAAAACCTCTTCAACAGCAGGTAAAATTAACTGTTCTCCAATGGTGTGCGGTTTTCCAGATTTTGCGATAAGTAATGAGATATTGTAAGATGCCCGCAAGCCATCATCGTTGCTTTCAAACGTTGAAGAGAACATACTGTGCACGTTGGGTCTCTTTTCATATTTTTCCTTTAATGTTTGGAAATATTTCAAATCTTTACCTATTTTATCAAGATGACACCTTCTTAGATGATCTTCCAGCTTTGATGGTTTCATAGAGTCATTGCTCAAAACTTTGTTGCATAAAAGGCATGTGGGCAATCGTTTGTCTGCCTTTGATGGAAGAAAACCAAATTTTAAATATTCAACACCGTACTGAAGACAATTCTTCATAGATTCGGCCATGTTTTGTATCAATTACCTACCTGCAAATGTGTAAGTAAATAAATAAAAAAAAAACTTTGTTTTAGTAATCTTAAGGCGATTCGAACTTAACATGATATGGATATTTTAGCATAATATGATTAATCAATTATTATAAATATTATGATTTTTCACAAAACCAATAATAAAAAAGTTTTCCATATGGTTTCAACTTAAGTAGACACACTGTAAAACTCGGAACGGACAGACAATTGAAATAAGTCATAATAAAAACAAATGTTCTCCTTACCGATATCTTTCATTTGGTATATATCTTACTTCTATTGGGAGGTGGGACAAAACTGCCCATCCTCCTTTGTCTTGCGTTTTTATAATATTGAAATATACCCTTACCTAGAATTTGTACAGTGCCGTACTTAGTTTATTTTTACTTTTTACGAAAATGCTTTGTATTTTTAACACCAGTATTTATTACAATATTGTCCATTTTATTTTCGTTTCTTTCTTCTTGTAGACGAGAGATAATTACAATTTCCTCCTTCTCGCCCCACTCTCGATGTGTTAGCCTTCGGTTGAAAGATACCCCCGCTGTAGAAAGCAATTATTCCGCCGCTTTCATGTGAGAATAACCGAAATGGTGTTTTAAGCGAGTGCCGCGGCTACATCTACAAAAAACCAAACTGAATTGAATTTTTTTACGCTACCGGAGTCGAATCTACATTAAATTAGCAAACTTTAATTGATTTCGTATCCCGTATCCCGAATTCGAGGACGAGACGGGGATACAGAAAGTTTAGCTTATCGGGCCATCTACACAGATTAGGATAAATGAATCAAATTATATTACCTAGTATTTGAAACTCATCCTTAGCCGAGAGATAGACTAGGCGCTTGTGCCGTTGCTCTGGTTTTGTTTCACTTAATATGCGGTTTTAAATTGAATTTAGAAAAACGTACGTACGTGTATTTAAACTTTTTTTTGGCTTTTGCATAATTCATGAACCCTTCTTTATATAAATTGAAGTCTTAAGAGTGAACGAAATGTTATAAAATTAGATATTCATGAAGGAGTTTTATTGTTTTTTTTTTTTTATTAAAATATTTAATTTTTTGGTACTTTCCGTATGCTATTATTTAATATTTAATATGTTTTTATTCGAAATAATCTCTGAATATATTGGAGCTTTTTAAATAATTATTTTTTTCTTGAACCACATGGATATTATAGTTCTAAGGTCTAAGAGCTAGCAGCCGATTGGAATTTTGTGAAGTGGTTAGAACTATCAAGAAGTGTCATTTTCAAGGATTTAGTTTAAAATTCCTGCAAACGAGACGTCAGACAACTCAAAGTTAAAAAAAATATCGGCTAAAGAAACAATCATTCCTCCGACTGGAAATTTACATATCACCTCTTTTAAGGCCAATGGTGAGGTATTCAAATCGTCAGATGACTAGGCCACTGCTAAAGGACTTTCAGACCACTGAATACACTGAAGTGTAACTCTCGAGAAATCGCATAAGAACGTTGTGGCAAATTTCGGTAACCTTCAGCCATCGAATTGGGTTCCTTTCGATAACCGGCTTAACACAAACGGACTGGTCAGAGGGAAGAAATATATTAAATTGGGCTTTAATATTTGGATTGATTTTTTATTCTAAAGGTTCCCGAGTTCGAAATTATTTTTTTGTAAATGAATGAGAAAACGGCTCTACTAATTTTCTTTAAATTTACCAA